CGATAAGATGGGGACTTACCAGCAAGTGTGTGTTCCGACTGCCCCGCTGACCGGCCGTTCCCCACCTCTCTGTCTCTCCTTGGGCCTCCCTCTTCCTTGAGACACAGCAATATTGAAATTAGGCCAACAAGACCCTGCAGTGGCCTCGAAGAGTTCAAGTGAAAGGAAGAGTCTCACATCTCTAACTCTAAAGCTAGAAATGAGTAAACTTAGTGAAGAAGGCATGTCAGAAGCTGAGATGGGCCAAAAGCTAGGCCTTCTGCACCAAACAGCCAAACTGTGAATGCAAAGGAAAAGTTCTTAAGAGAAATCAAAAGTGCTACCCCTGTGAACACATAAAGGATAAAAACAGCCTTATTGCCTGTAAGAAGAAAGTTTCGGTGGTCTGGATTTTAAGAGAACAAACCAGCCACAACATTCCCTTAAGCCCAAGCCTAATCCAGAGCGAGGCCCCAACTCTCATCAACTCTATGAAGGCTGAGAGAGGTGAGGAAGCTACAGAAGAAAACGTGGAAGCTAGTGGAGACTGATTCATGAGGCTTAAGGAAAGAAGCCGTCTCCATGACAAAAGTGCCAGGTGAAGCAGCAGGTGCCGGTGTAGAAACTGCAGCAGGTTATCCACAGACCTGGCTGAGACCATTGATGAAGGTGAGTACACTAAACCACAGATTTTCTGTGGAGACAAAACAGCCTTCTGCTGGAAGAGACGCCATCTAGGACTTTCATAGCTGCAGAGGAGAAGTCAAAGCTGCAAAGCACAGGCTGACTCTTGCTAGGGACCAATGCAGCTGGTGACTTTCAGTCGAAGCCAGTGCTCATTTACCATCCTGAAAACCCCAGGGCCTTCAGAGTTATGCTAAATCTACTCTGTCTGTGCCCTATAAATAGAACAACAAAGCCTGGATGACAGCACATCTATTTATACCACAGTTTACTGAATATTTTCAGCCCACTGTTGAGACCTACTGCTCAGAAAAAGATTCCTTTCAAAATATTACTGCTCATTCCTATGCACCTGGTCACCCCAGAGCTCTGGTGGAGATGTGCAAGGAGATGAATGTTCTTTTCCTGCCTGTTAACACAACATCCATCCTGCAGCCCATGGGTAAAGGAGCAATTCTAACTTTCGAGTCTGATTATGTAAGAAATATATTTCATTAGGCTACAGCTGTCACAGATAGTGATTCCTCTGATGGATTTGGGCAAAGTAAATTGGAAACCTTCAGGAAAGGTTTCACCATTCTAGATGCCATTTAGAACATTTGCAATTCATGGGCGGAGGTCAAAGTATCAACATTCACAGGAGTTGGGAAGAAGTTCATTCCAGCCCCCCTGGAGGACTTGGAGGGGTTCGAGAGCTCAGTGGGGGAAGTCACTGTGGATGGGGTGGAGGCGGCAGGGGAACTAGAGTCAGACGCGGAGCCTGCAGATGGGGCTGAGCTGCTGCAGCCTCAGGATGAGACATGAACGGCCAAGGAGGCGCTTCTCATGGATGAGCGAAGAAAGTGGTGTCCTGGGATGGAAGCTACTCCTGGTGAAGATGCCGCGAGCACTGCTGCAGTGACAACAGAGGGTTTGGAATGTTCCATAAGCTTAGCTGACAAAGCAGCGGGAGCGGGGAGAGGACCAGCTCCGATTGTGAATGGAGTTCTCCTGTGGGTCCAATGCTATCAAGCAGCATCAAATGCTACCGAGAAATCTTTCACGAAAGGAAAAGTCAATTGATGGGGCAAACTTCATTTTTATCTCATTTTAGGAAATCACCACAGCTGCCCTCACCTCCAGCAACCGCCACCCTGATGGGTCAGCACCATGGACATCGAGGCCGGACCCTCTGCCAGCAAAAAGATCGCAGCCCACTGAAGGCTCAGATGGTCCTTAGTATTTTCTTTTAGCAATAAAGCATTTTTTAAATTAGGCAATGCACGTTGTTTTTTAGACTTAATGCTATTACCGCCATGATAGGCTATAGTGTAGTGAAACATAACCTTCGTGGGCACCGGGAAACCAAGCCCTTTGTGTGAATCACGTCATCGCAACGTTCGGTCTGCGGTGGTCCCACTCTGACCCCGTGACGTCTCTGAGGTGCCTGTAGCAGCTTCCTAGACTACTAATACGAAGTGCCTCAGCCCAGGTGGCTTAACGCAACAAAAACTTACTGTCCCATGGCTCTGGGTCCAGCAGCTTTAAACGAAGGTGTTGGCCAGGCCATGGTCCTTCCGAAGGTGCTGGGGGGACACCGCCCTGCTGGACACCCTCCAGCAGCCGCTGGAGTCACTGGCCACCCTGGGGTACTCTGGGCGTCACTCCCGTCTCTGCCCCTGCATCGACGGTGTGGCTGTGTTCAGATTTCCCTCTTCTCATGAGGGTACCACCCGGCCCCACTAGGACGCCAGCCCAACTCGATCTCATCTGTAAAGACATCAGTGCTTCCGACGCGTGCATATGGCCAGGCTCTGGGCGGACGTGCGTTTGGGGGTGGACGTGCGTTTGGGGATACACGGCTCAGCCTTCGGCATCTTTGCCTCCTTCTCTGCCCTCCCCTGCAGACACGGAGCTTCCCCCGCTCCCACACGCAGCGCTGCACGCAAGCGTCTCTCGGCTTTCCTGCCTTGGCCGCCAGCTTGTTTCGTGGTTCCATTGCCGTGTCCCCTCTGTCCTCACTTGCTGGGCACCCACGGGGGAGGCTGGCCAGGAACCTTCCCCTCCCGCCCCCCGGCCGGTCTGCAGTGGGGCCGTGAAGTCCAACTTCATCCCACCAGGGACATCTCTCATGGCTCCTCCTGCCTGTGGAACACGCTCCCAGCGCCTGGGCGGGCACGTTCCATCTCTCTGAGCAACCTGTGCTCTGGCAGCTCATTTTTCTCTTGTACTCCATTAATCCCCACTCGAGGTCTTTGCCTGAGACGTTTTCTCACCTAGCGTGCTCTATCCACAGGCCACGTCCCAGGCGGCGTACCTCTGTCTCCCCCGGGAAGCCTTCCTTGATCCACCCAGCTAGACGATGTTAAGGAAGAATTTTCTTTTTCTCTGCACCCAGGGACCCGGGCTGAGTCTCTCTTGGCCAAGTGAAGCACGGGGGCCACGCTCGGCTCCTTCTCCTCCCAACTATGAGGCGGCGTCGCTGCCTCCTCCCCCCGCACACCCAGCAATGCTCGGCAGTGGCTGCGTGCTGGGTCTCAGAGCCTTGCTCAGCAGCTGCGTGTTGCGTGAACTAAGGGCGCAGAAGTGCACACAAGGCACGTCTTATATCCCTGCAGGAGCACCGGACCCAAACCTTCCTGGGTAACCACAGAAAACCCAACCCACGAACAAGGAAAGGTAACTGATGACTTGATAATTATCCACTTAAAATTCTTCAAGGGAAGCTGATGTATGACTGAGTTACACATCATTTTATTTTTGAAATTAAGAAAATATCAATCTACATAAACATCAATCTATTTATATAAACTTTATTCTAGACTTTTAAATTCAAACGATGACTTTGTCACCAGCTAGGTACCAAAAGCCTGACATCTTACCTTAAACGCATCACATACACCGAGTGTAGTGTCTTTTCTCTGTGTGTCACAAAATCAATGTGTTTGCCAAGTGACACATGAACAGCTGCCACGAGGAAAAGCACCGGTGCACGGACCTGCATCTGTCCCTGCCCCCGCATGTCCCTGCGGGAGACCCAGGGGCTGGAGGCAGCAGGGCTGCTGTCCCTCTGCCCCGTGACCCTGTCCAGCTTGGATCCAGGCACAGGGGTGGCTGGGACCCTCCGGGATGCTTCCCTGCCAAAGACGCAAGGTGGCTGAGAGCTGTCTCCACACCCGTTCCTGTTAATGTTCTTTAGCAAGACTGAGGGCCTGGGGACATTTGCCCCCAACACCCCGACCTGGGGACACATAGCCCCTCCCCCATCCACTGTCCACCCTGACCTGGGGACATACAGCCCATCCCCCATCCACTGTCCACCCTGACCTGGGGACATACAGCCCATCCCCCATCCACTGTCCACCCTGACCTGGGGACATCTGGCCCTTCTTCCATCCACCTTCATCTTGGGACATGCGGCCCCTCCCCCATCCATCCTGAGCTGGGGACATGTGGCCCCTGCCTGGTCCTCCGTCCACTCTGGCTTTGACTTTGGCGCCAGGTGAGCTGGGGGGCTGCTGCCACTCCCTTCACCTCTCTGCAGTCCTCATTCTGAGCCGCCCTGGCAAGAGGCCGTCCCTAAAATTGAGACCTAAAGAATCTGATCGTGGCTGCTCCACGCCCCTGGGAAAGTGTGCGCCACGTGGCCTTGGCCGGGCAGTGGCCAACTGCAGGGGTGTCCTTCTGGGGGACCCCAGTTAGCAGAGGAAGTAGGTTTGGAATTAAAATCCATTCTCCCGAAGCTGTAGTACCCCTTGTCAGTCTTCTAACTGCCTGAGATGTTTCCTTTTAGATTCAATATCATATTTTGCACAAGATAAAATTAATTCATTCAATATAATAACTTCATCAATACACAGACTAATCATTTACACCCACTGATTTATGTCTCACTGATTGTCACTTACTTGGTGTAGAAAGACCAGTATCAGGTTGAGTAATTTCAAACATGTTTACAGCACAAAACTTGCATTTTTTTCTCTTAAGCAAAATGGGGAGTTCTAGCCAATCTTGCTAGTTTTATTTATAGCACTTTATTTCCTGAAAGAAGACAGGAAAAGTGAGTCCCTGCCTTCCCTCTCTCCGCCTGTCTCCTTCCCGCCCATTCTGGCAGGGTCCGGGGTGCAGGGAGGTGGTGTCCGGCTCCGAGGGCTGGGCTTGGACCCCGGCACCAGGTACTCGGACGAATGGTGAGATCAGAAGAAGGAACTGTGTCACTGCTTGGAAGGAATGAATTAAACCAGCTTCCTGGCGAGTCTGATTGACAGCTCTCTGCAGGAGAAAGTGCATAAAAGCAGCCGCTGCAGCCGCAGCCAGCGAGGCCACGTCCGCCGGCGTCCTGCACGGAGGGGCCGGGTTTCTCCTCCACCCAGCAAATCCTCACCCTTTCTGGACTCGCCTGAGACGTTCCGGCCAGTCATCCCCACAGCTTTTTACATAGCAGGTAAGACTGTTCTTAAACTTACCAAGTCATTTCACTGTGCTATAGTTCTCAGAAAAAGTTCGCGATTTCTAAGAGGCGAAGGAAAAAATTACAGCAGAGATTCTTAATTGAGCGCGAGTGACTCACGCATAAACACAAAGCAGCAAACGGTCTTCCCGTGGCATTTTTACTGCTTGCTTGAGCAGCTGAGCGCAGTGAACTTGCTGCCGGCGTCTGTTCTCCGTAGTCACGCCACCTCCTTCCTGGCACTGCTGCCCCGCAGTGACCGCTGCTGTCCTGATGCAGGTGCCTGCCCGGGAACGCTGGGTGAACGCTCACGTTTTCATCTTCAGAATAAACAGTTTCCACGTGAGGGTTTGTTCTTGAGGAGGGATGATGAGAGAAGACTGAGCAGCAATTTCCTGAGAATGTGAAAAATAAGCAGAGATTATAGAAACTCTGACTCTAAACATTATTAATAGCCGAGAAAGTGTTTTTGGACGTGACTGGTGAGTAGTTTATAGTGAGCCTATGGAAAACATTAGGACAGCCAGGGATCAGCTATTTTAAAAAGCTCTCGGGGTAATCTGCGTATGAAAAGCAAGCCGGCGGTTGCATTGCGGCCACTAAAGCAAAGCGGGTTTAACGCCAACCTGCAGGTGGGAAGGCTGAGCCCGGTTTGGGGAGTGACGTTTCACCGCTCCTCTCTTGGCGGGAGGAATAACTGTCTCCCAGCAAAGTCACCTTTGAGGAGGCTGTCGTTTGGAGACTGGCCCTCCCCGACCCATTTATTTTCATTTTTTCTTGTCAGTATCCCACTCGGTGACATGGGTGCCTTGCGCTGGCCCGTCTGACACATGGCAGGGTCCCGCCTCGAGTCAGAGACAGAGTAGGATTCGATCTTGTCACAGTGGAGTTTGGTTTACGGGTTAAGCCTGTGCTCACGAAGCCAGGCATCGGAGCCGGGCATGTGTTGTCGGGAGGGAGCTGCCCCTGCTGAGCGAGCGCCACTTGCAGTCTCCGGGACGTTCGACCTGCGGGAAGGGCGGGCGGGGACAGCCTTGCTCACGCCTGGCCCAGGAGGGAGGCAGGGGCGAGCCCCCGGCTGTGGCTCCCGCCGTCTGGTTATCCCACAGCCGCTCTGCGGTTGTCACTGGGCCAGGGTTTGCTCGGGCAGTTTGTCCTCTGAAGAGCTCTGTGGAGAGGCCCTGGTCACAGCACCGTGGTCATCGCTGTGACTGCCTTGGAGGGCTGGAGTGGAGAGCATTCCAGATGCACAGCCACACCGCGCACTGACCAAGTCCTGCGCGCTCACTGCGCTAAATCACAGCCATGTGAATATTCATTTGCTTAGTTTAGTTCTCATAACCAGCAATGAGGGAGATATTTTAAATGACTGTTTTCTTCATTGTACAGATGAGGAAACTGAGGCAGAGAGGTTAAATAATTTGCCTGGGGTTGCTCAGCTGAGGCCAGACAGCTCAGCGCGGGTGCAGGCGCCCTGGGGCCACCCCGATGCCTGCCGCCTCCTGCGCCCCGAGGGTTGGAAGCGGCCGGAGCTGACCCCTGTACAGCACCGTGCGAAGCCGGCTCCAGCTTCCAGAGGGCCCTGGGGTGCTGCCAGACATTCCTCCTGCTCTGGGGAGAGATGCTCCATTCCTGGAAGGTGACTGTGTCCAGTTCACCAAATGTTTCTGGACAGGGAGGTTCCTTGCATTTCTGCAACAATGGGAAGCTAATGAGCTTTGATATTTTAGACAGGAGAGGAAGTAGGGTCTCGCTATTAGCCTCGACTTAGAGCAGGACGTGAGCACAGGGTGCAAGGGGCCTCGGAGCCACGGCCCCACAGGCTGGTCGGGAGCCACAGGAGCTGTGACCCGCAGGGGTTAACTCGGGCCTGGGCTTCCGTCCAGGTCTCCTGACTGCTGGTCCAGCCCCCTTGAGCCCAGCCAAGTTAGAGTCCTCAAGATGGAAAAATGGGCCTAAAGGAAAATAGAGAAGCAGGGTGAAGATGATTGCTAAGTAAAATGTCCCATTTTTTGTAAGTATGGTGCACCAAATTAAGTTTCTTTCTTTCATACGCGGTTAATACTTTTTCTATTTAATTAAGTTATGCATAACTGTTTTTTCTCTTGGATGTGTGCACAAAATGCCTTCACAGATTATCCTTGCCAGGCTGGGTATTTTTATAAACTCAAGCTTCCTGGAGCTGAGTCCTGGCTACACTTAACAGAATTACTCCGGGTGAGCGCTGCCCTTCCTCTCCTGCATTTGCCCGTCTGTAGAATGGGCACAGTAGCCGCGTACTTTTCTCCTGGGTCATTATGAGGGTTAAATACTATGAATATTCAGAACGTGATTAGTGCAGTGTTGTCAGTGTGTACCAGCCCCATACATGTTAGCTACAGTTGGAAGAATCCTGTTTGGAAAGCAAATTTCTTATCTAGCTTTTAGCTTCCCATGAATCCATTTATTGGTAACTTTTACAAGCAAATTGTTTTTACACGGTCATATAAATAAGCATTCCAGGCAATGATCAGAGTTGTAGCTGGGTGCCCATAACCGACACGGGTTTCATTTATTCCTAGGGGTCAAGCTACAGGAGGCAGGATGCTCTGGCGGCTGGTGCTGGTGGCTCTGTGGGCGTGGCCCAGTGCTCAAGGTGAGTGGGGGTCCCCTGGGCTCGTGGGAGGTGGCTTAGCCACAGTTAAGAGAAGTGTAATAAAATGTGTGGCTGGAGAATCTAACCTGCTTGAACCTTCTCAACTCCTTTGTAAATACAATATCTGTTTACTTTCGAATCAATATGACAGGAAATGATTTATCTTTGGATCATTCAGGCATTGGAGAACAATACTCACCCACCCAGAGATGCAACATTTTGCTGTGCAAAGTTTGGCTTTCTCTCCCCCATATATTATATTTAGAGCACTGCATGTATTTGGTGTTTTATAACTTCTTTTCCCCCTTTCTTTCTACTTAAAACACATGTCGTAAATATTGCCCAGGTGTTTGTCTTCCTACTGCGTGATTTTAACAGCTGCATAGTATCCTACCACAGACCCTAATGTGTTTAGACCAGTTCCTATCAGGTTGCTCCTCTATTTTCATTGGTATAAATGAGGACACAGGGATATTGCCGTGGATAAGCCGTTACTAGCATTTGTGATTACACCTTGAATAAATTATGAAGATGGAAATGCTGAGTCAGAGGGTTTAATTCTCTTCATTGTTGCCAACTAGCTCCCCTGAGAGTGTTGCGATTCACGCTTCCATCAGCGACACTTTATTATACTGTTTTAATTTGCCAAGTATTGGATGGCAAGTATGCTTTGTTTAAGCTTTCTGGTCAGTATATTGTTCTGAGTTACCTAAACTATTAAAATTTTGATGAAGTCTGATAACTTCTCTCGCCAGTATTTTATACGGTGACTTAAAACCATTCGTTTATAGACTCGAGACCAGTCCTTGTCTCGGAGTCTCTGCGGCAGCGTGCACAGGAGCTGGAGAATATATTGTTACCAAAGAACAAGATACTAACAGAATTTGTTGAAGACAGATGATTGCAATAAGAAAGCAATGTAAAATTCACTTGCTTTCTGGAACTCCATCAGTAGCTAGGCTAAAGGTCCATTTCTTTTCTAGTTTTTGTTTGTTTGTTTGTTTGTTTCCCATTTTTTTCCTGATTACTCAAACGGCAGAGAGAGGAGAGAGAGGCTGCACCAGCTCCAGGTCAGGGATGGGAGAGCCGGGTTGAGCGGCCTCCAGTCACGACCTGGCGCTTGTGTTGGAACGTGCGTCTGTGGGTGACCTCCCCAC